ACAGGAGGTCGGGCGGCGTGTCCCGCAAAGAGTGTGCGGCGGTGCAAGATGGTTAGCAGATAAAAGGAAAAATGGATTACCGCGCTGGAGGGGAGGTCGGAAATTGTGTGGTCCTTGGTTGAGGGGAGGTTTGTTGGGGATTCCTCCAAGTCCCACACCGGAGGGAGAAGAAAAAATGGACCAAAATATATAGGTTCACCCAACCCTATTAGTATGAGGCCTTTTGGGAGGTGCCCAAAAACAAATCCGTGAGGGCTTGGCCCAGAGCGGACAATATCATACTAATGCGGGGTTGGGGTGAGGTGCCCAACACTCTCTTTGTCCACCATAGATATTCCCAGACACTATCCACAGGGTCAAACTTAATTCACTTTGTTTATTTATTTTTACTACTCATTTCATAAAATAATATAGTGTTGTCACCTCTAGTTTTGTAGAATTTTTCATGTAGTTTATTACCACATAAATTTTATATTAAAATTTTATCCCTATATTCAAATAAATTGAATTAAAAATAAAGTCAGTCAAGCCTCGTAACGCGCAATGGGAAGATCTTAGGTGGACGGAGGGAGTATGTCATTTTCCAATACAGTACTTAAATTTTTTTTATCTCCTAAATAGTACTTGAATAATGTCTAATGACGTGAACAATATCTAGTGATGGGAGACATTTAGTTTGAACAATGTCCAGGGGCGTTAAACATTTACTTGAACAATGACAACAAACAATGACTAGGGTTACTACATTATTAAATTGGAAAATAAAAACATATGGTACTACATTAAAAAAAAGTAATTGTGTTTTACTATGGAGTAGTATTTAGACAAATTCCCCCTATAGGTTTTGGATGTTTGGAGCATAGTGAACATTTGCAGGTTTGAGATGAATAAATGTGTGGTTTATGTAATTTCTCTCTCCTCAAAGAAACTCAATCATATGCTAGTAATTCATACAATCCGTAAACCTCGTCAAAAATACAAGTTAGAACATAAATTAGGGACAAAGGGAGTCAGTTTAATTTGCAATACGCTCTGGAGTACATATAAAATAAATCTATTGAAATCATTTTCATACAATCATACTAATATATGCTCTGTAATATAGATTTTATTTAATTAATTACTAAATTCCTTCAACACTCCAAAAAGTTAAAATAGACAAGTTTCAATTAAAAAGCTAAATTTCAATCATATAGTGTAATTTATATAGAAGAAGATATATTGATACCTCTTGATGGCTCCATAACCATGGCTCCCCACAACCAATATAGAGGCATGGTGCCTCTCCACAGCCTCGCAGAGGACATTTCTGGCATCTCCTTCTACAATCTCGATTGCAGGCTCATTAACCTGGACCGATTTTGTCTAAGATCAGATCAGCAAATATATAGTATGGAATAACTGATTTATTTCAACAAATAAACTGAAATTTAAGAATAAATTGGCATTATTTTTGAAATTACCGATTTAGAGGCGCAAATTCCCTTGGCCTTTTCAACAACCCTTGCAGCGATCCTCTTCAAATCCGAATCCACGTATGGCAGCACTTCAGCAGCCCCTGCAGAATTTCAATTTTCTTAATTAAATAAAATAACCGATCGGACCGCGATGATAAACAATCGCGCACAGAGCTTATGATTCGTGATATTTGTTTCGAGGATCGAGCGCTCAAGGTTACCGGGACCGGCGAGGCCTACGGCGGAAGCCGGCGAAGGTTTGGCGTGGAGGAGGACGAGCTTGAAAGGAGAGGCGGATTCGGAGAAGAAGTGATCCAACGTCCAACTCAGAGCGTAGAAGCTGTGTTCGCTGTCGTCGACGGCGACGATCATCACAGGTCTCTCCGCCTCTTCCGTCGTCATTTTCAACAGCTACCTTATAGTCGCCGGAAGAATCGTAACGATCTGAGATCTAAAATAGTGGTGGTGGTTATAAATGATTATTTAGATAAGCTCAGGTGCGGAACTATTTATAGTGCAATTGTACAGCGCATAAGTAGAAGGGGGGGTATTTTGAAACAGCGAACTGATTCGCTGGTAATGGAAGAACGGTTAAATTTATGCAAAAATGGTGGATGGGCACCTGGTTTTTGGCTTTTTTGTTTTGATTACTTTGATTGGTTAGTTTGAGGATCCTATACTCTTATTCTCTCTATCCAACTACAACTTGGTGTGGGCTGGGGTCCCTAAAGTATAGAAGATTTTGGTGTCTAAGGATTCTTTTTAAAAAATGTTAAATTATATCTCAACTGTACAATCACGAGTAAAATAAAAAATTAATAAATAGATAAAGAATATAAGAAAATGAATGTTGTTGTATAAATAGGGTACATAAAATGTTGTATGATTGGTGTATTCCACCTAGGACCCGATCCGAATCCGGGTCTACAACAGTTGATCTGTCAGACGCCATTATGGAAGGTCTAAACGAAAGGATGAACGACCAGTCGAACTCGAAAGTCGACCGGGACGATATATAGGCTTACCGGTCAGAATACATGACTTCATATTGGCGGTCTTCTGTCCCTTTAGAAGGCATGACCTGTGAACCTACCGGATAGATTGCTATGGTTTGAAAGTGTCTACGCGAAAAATTCTAAAGGTGGTTAGACGATAGGGACCGATTTCAAAGATTGGAGTAATTTTTTAGATAGATGGAGTAATTTTTATTAATAGATCATGTTTTTTTAAGAGCGTTAGGGGTACATCAAAAGTGTACCCTTTTGATGTACCCCATTTGTCCTTCACCTCCTTCTCCACCATCCACTTTTATCATCTTTTTATTTATTTAATTTTTTTAAGAATACTTGTCCATTTATGTGGTAAAAGAGGAGGTGAGGGACACCTACCATTTTTCTTTTTTTAAATTCTAATTATTCCGTATAGTACGGCATATTTGAGAGGAATTGTACGACAGGATTAGATCATCATCATCAGGTGTCCTTTGTCGTCACCATTACAATTTACAAGCCAGAGATAGAGATCTCACGAAGAAGAAAATAGGGATAATCCCCAAACAGGGTTCTTCACAATTCATTCATCTTCCCCTTGAGATTTCAGATTCGGAAAAAAGAAAAAAAAAGATGAAATTTTGCAAGAAATACGAAGAGTACATGGAGGGGCAAACGCAGAAGAAACTCCCCGGCGTTGGTTTCAAGAAACTCAAGAAAATCTTGAAGAAGTGCAGCAGAGACATTGATTCCCATGCCCGATTTCATGACCACAACAATAATTCTTCCTCTCCTCCTCCTCCCTGCAGCTCCACCTGCCCCAATCAATGCCCAGGTTTTTTTTCTTGTTCTGTCTTCTATTCCATCATCATATGGATTGGATAAATTTTAGCATTGGATGTCTTTTTGTTCTTACTTTGTTTGTGCTATTCTGTTTACTTTTTGTGGGATTTTACTGGGTTTGTTGTCGTCGTCGTTGTTGTTGTTGTCGTTGTTGTTGTTGGGATTACAAAATCACATGACATTCGCGTGATTTATTGCTTTCTGATTCGCGTGCAGTATGCGATGGAACATTTTTCCCTTCACTTGTGAATGAGATGTCTGCGGTGGTGTGGTGTTTCAACGAACGTGCTCAAAAGTTGCTCGATTGGCATCTAGCATCCAGTTTCAACAAGTGTTTCATCTGGTTTAAAGGCAGAGTTCATCACACTAACCATGGTGCTTTGATCCAAGAAGGAAAGGACTTGGTCACATATGCTATAATCAATGCCATCGCGATGCGCAAGATTCTCAAGAAATATGACAAAATTCACTACTCCAAGCATGGGCAGGCGTTCAAAACGCAAGCCCGGAGTATGCACATAGAGATACTTCAGTCGCCGTGGCTGTGTGAGCTCATGGCTTTCCATATCAACATGAGAGAGCTGAAAGGGAAAAATCATACGAAGAAACCGGTTTCCCTCTTCGAGGGGTGCTCATTGGCATTCAAAGATGGAAAACCTTCTCTTTCGTGTGAGCTCTCCGATTCGATCAAGCTTGATCTAGACCTGACATGTTCTATATGCTTGGTAAGTTCCCAAGAATCTCATATGCTCTATGGTGCTCACCTTGTACTCCTTTCAGTTGTTTGTTGCTATCTGGATAGATGTTTTGGAAAAAGAAGAAAAGTGCTTGGATTATATTGTAAATAGTTGCAAGCCAAAAAGCAAGTTTCTTTGATCTTCACCCATACTCTATTTGTGCTATTTTCGATAGCATTCTCTCTACTTCCCAGTAGGGGTAAGGTTTACGTACAAACACCCTTCCCAGACCTTACTTTTTTGCGGGATTTCACTGGGTTTGTTGTTATTGGTGTGTTTACAACATAGATTTGGAAGAATAAGGTTTCGGTTTTAATGGTGGGTTTTGCAGGATACAGTGTTTGATCCGGTCTCCTTAACTTGTGGTCATATCTTCTGCTACATGTGTGCTTGCAAGGCTGCATCAGTGACCATAGTGGATGGGCTCAAGGCATCAACCCCTTCCCACAAATGTGCTCTTTGCCGCGAGGCAAGTCCTTTTGTATACAAGGCTTGAAACTATGATCATCTAAACTATAGGATAAAACCGCATATATGTTATACTTGACGAGTTTTAAACAACTATTTCAGGAAGGCGTGTACGGAGGAGCAGTTCATCTTGACGAGCTGAATATCCTATTGAGCCGAAGGTTTGTTTTTTTACACATATGAATTATGCAAATATGATTTCAAATTTGTATTTTTTTCACACGAGCAATGTTTCGTTACTCGGTATGAAGCAGTTGTCCCGATTACTGGGAAGAACGAATTCAATGCGAGCGAGTAGAAAGGGTTAAACAAGCAAAGGAGCACTGGGAATCTCAATGCAGAGCTTTCATGGGAGTTTAATTGTTGAAGTAAACTAATCTAAAAAAAAGGATGAACTACCCAATTATGTGAGATGAAGTTATTTAAACTAGATTCTTAGTATGACAAATAAAGAGTGAAATTTGTTTCTCGTAGAGCCATTGTCAGAAATTGAACCTGGACATTACCCCTTTTGCCCCTGGCACTATTTTATTTTTTTCTGTTTCAATATTTTGTATTTTGGATCTACTTGGCGTTTGCAAATAATTTGAACTCAATCTGTACATAAAAGAAAACACTGGTGTGCATTAATAATAGATTGAAGGTAAGCAAGTAATTTACTAAACTACCTGAATTTCTTCTCTTTAATACCTTTTTTTTAATTTCCCTCCCTTAATTAAGTAATTCAAATTTTTTTAGAATTTCCAAATCAAATTTACAAATTCATTCCACTTTTATTACCAATTTCAATGAATTATATTAGTCAAAGTATGCTTCTACAAAAGCAAATAACATACACCATTACACCAAACCTCTGTTACCGTTTGAATCACCATGATTTACCTCATCTCACAATCTCAACAGACGCAAGATTAGGTGATTTCATCTTTTGGAAAAAGAATTTGTGCCAATCTCGAATTCTACAAGTCATTTATACTCTATAATTGATCAAATTTTAGACTATGATGATATTCAAATTGTGATGGATATTGATAGATAAATTTTCAAATAAGTACTCCATAACAAATTCTTAAACTATTCACGTTAATTAAAAAAAGGAAATTTAATTGCTAATACTTCAAAAAATTGCTTCTTGAAACTAATGTAATTTCCAAAAAAAAACTCATGGTACGAAGTAATTTGTGAATTAAGTAGACTAATTGTTTGCCCCTGATAACCTCTTAATCCGGTGGAAGTGTTTTTTTATGTTAAAGATAAGGAGTCATAAACAGCTTCAGATTATCATCATCATTATTATTATTATCAATATTTTAATAATTTAGAATAAAAAATTAAAATATGATACACATGTAGCTGAAGAAATTCAGAATCTCTCTAAAAACAAGAAAAGAAAAATGCAAGGCAGACCTAAGATGGCATGGAAAATGCTAAAGTCACTCCAACTCTCACCCCACTTTTAAAACTTAATTTTCTCACATTGTACAGTAGTAGTAGTAGTAGTAACACACATCTCTCCTCCCATTGACAAGCTTCTGTTGTGGTGGTGTCAGAAAGTGGGGTGAAAGATGGAGTGAGGGGTGGTGTGCCCCTAGCATGGTTGCCCACACTCCCAATATCTGGGAGGAAACATCTGACTATTGCCCCCCTATATTAAAAAATGGACTCTACAACAAGGGCTTTTGCTGTTGCTGATGTTGCTGCTATACACTTTTTTGTCTTTCTCACTCTCTCTCTCACTCTCCCCTCTACATGAAGTAACTTAGAGCCTTTGTTTTCCTCGATCCGCCTTCTCCGTATAGTTCATTCCACTGCACGAGCTCGTTCATATTCGTTGATTCCGATGACACACTCGCGCACACCTGCATTTTTTGTTGTGGAAAAGAGAGGACAAGAATTCAAGACTTTGTCCACCATGAGCTAAACATGAAATAATAAACTTCACTTTTCTTTTAAGGAAAATAATGTGGCTCGGAAAATTTCTCTCTTCTTGACACATTCCAACCACACCTTTTTCATCTTCAACACTTTCATTCGTAACCCAAGATTTNATGGCGCACACGCTCGATGGGTTAGTATTAGTGTTTCCAAATAGCTTCCAAGAATTTGAGAGAATCATTGGAGGTTAGCTTTTAGAGAGTCGAATTGAAAAGGCAAACCTGTTGGTGCGCATATTTGAAGTCATCCATGCTAAGGGCGCGGATATGAGAACTGTTGTGCAATGTAGGTAATGGTCTATTCTCTGCCATAGCCAAGGCCTTCTCCTAGAGATATTGTAAAAAGTAGAGATTAGCATTCCATTTGGTAAAATTATGCTAGTAAGGCAGCAAGATGTAACAGAGCCACACACAATGATAGGATGTCATCAGAATACATTTTTTCTCGTCTTTTTTAAGTACTGTTTAATCAAAGGACAGTAAATTGTGTTGATAAAAAAATATCTTGGGGAATAATTTGAAGCATGTGCAGTATAATGTTAACAACAACAAAACCCATTTAATCACAAATCCATCAAGGTCTACGAGGTCAAGATGTACACAGATTTACCCCTTTGAAAAATAGAGAGGCTATTTCTGTTAGACCCTTGATTCATTGATGCATATACTACCCAAAACTTGATCAAAACAAAAGGAACGGAAGGTTAATGGACATAATGTATTACTCCCCAAAACTTCATTCAAGGAAGTAGCTGTTGCATATTTTTCAAGACAAATAATTTTCCAAAGTTGGCAAAGAAAGAATCAAATGGGGAAATTTCCCCAATCCCCAAACACGGAAAAATCCAAAAAAAAGAGTTCATGTTCAATCGGATGGGGCCTAAGGCTATGTTTGGTAAAGGAAGGACGTGGATGGGAAGGAAATGGGGAAGAAGAAAGTGGGGAGGAAGGAAGTGGAATCGAAATTCAATTTTGGTTTGTTTGGTGGAGAGGAAATAGAGTGGAAATACAACATTCCTCCCATTTCTCTCCAAAAGTAGAGGGAAGTTTTTTTCAACTAAATTCCAATCTCCCTATTGTTTCCTTCCCAATTCCTTTTACTTCCCTCAAACCAAACAATGGAAATTCGTCAATGTCCTTCCAACTTCCCTCCCCCATTCTCACTTCCCTCCCGCTTCCCGTCAACCAAACACACCATAAATGATCGCACTAAAACAAGGATAAGAAGTGTTAGAACAAGGAACTAAGAAAACTAACCTCCTTTTCTTTTTTCAGAATTTCCCTTATGGGGCAGTGCGCGGCAGTAACACACAAATTCTGCAGAAGGTAAGTGTCATAACAGTCTCAACAAGGAACTCGAATTTGCAAATATGAGAGTTCAAAGAAATCGTTCGTGGCCAAACCTTCAAATCACTCCCTGAATATCCTTCGGTCATATTGGCAATTGCTTCAAAATCAAAATTAGGTGCTAGTTCTTCCTTGGCCAATATCACTCTTAAAATCTTTTCCCTGTTCAGAGCATCTGGCAAGTTGACCATCAGCCTGCAAAAATGAAGAGCGGACCAAGTTGAATTATACTCTTTAGTCATCATATTAAATAAGCCAAAGGGTAGAAACAAAACCACTGTGTATTCACCTTCTAGGTAACCTCCTAATAACTGCATCATCAAGATCAAAGGGTCTATTTGTTGCAGCTAGTACAATGACTCGTTCAGTATCCTTTGTACGCAAACCATCCCAATTCATCATGAATTCATTCTTCATTTTGCGCATAGCTTCATGTTCTCCGGGATTTTCTCGCCGTCCTAACATGCTGTCAACCTGAAAAAGAGAAAACAAGAGAACAATAAGGAACACGCAACCATTAGTATATTTACAGAAATGCTAAACACACTTCACTCCCTCCATCCTAAAACTTTCTTCCAACTTCCCTTGGCGTATCGTCCTATATCTTTTTGCAATTACTTAAAATGGAAACTATTAATGCATTAAATGGCATTAATAAACCTCGCAACATATCCACCTATTAACAACCCACCGATCCACATTGATACACTCAATTCTCTTTCCCGTTCTTGTTCCGCCTTATCTTTTTTGCACCATTTACTCCTGAACTCTTTATAAAGTGCATATTTTCCCCCACGAACTTTCAATACTGCACCATTGGCCCCTATACTTTTAATAAACTGCGTGCTTTACCACCGAATTATTTAAATAGTGCATGTTTTCCCCCTAAAAATTTCTCCTGATTTAACATCTTTATCCAAACTTGAATAAAAAGAAAAATAATAGGACTGATGGTGCACTTTTAAAGTTTGGGGGAAAGCATGCAATTTATGAAAAGTATAAGGACCAATGGTGCATGTTTAAAAGTTCAAGGGAAAACATGCACCTTTACAGAGTTTCACACACTTTATAAATAGTGTAGGGACTACGGGTGCACTTTTAAAAGTTTGAGGGGAAAACCTTTATGAAGACTTCAGAGGTAATTGACGCAAAAAAAACTCAATAGTTTGATTTTCCTTCATTTTTTCATGAGGGATAACATTAAAAACTAGGGTAAGGGCATTTATGGAAAGTCAATACTATTTTCCCTTTGCATTAAAAATCACTCAGTAAACATGGAATTTGGAAAGAAAGTTTTAAGACATAGGGAGTAATTTATTTACTACTACATCTGTCCCAAATTTTTTTCTTACCTTCTTTCTATCTCGCTATCTTTGTTTCATAATATAATTAGTAACATTTGTGTGGCATATGTTTACATCAACTCTGATGGAGCTAGATCCAATGATTCACTATTCTTTAGATTTGGGAGTTTGGGGTATGATGGAATAAAGGAAAATGACTCTTTAAATTGTCTTCGCTTCTTAGTGAAGTACCAGTTAGCCAATGAAACTTCCTACACTCATTATGGGTCATCCAGAAATAGCTGCTCTATGTTTTAAACATAGGGTTCAAGCTACGCACATCCAACCCCACCTTAGCCCGCAATGGGCAGAAGCCTTTGAGTTTGTGGGGAATTGTTCTTGTTGTTGTTGTTGTTGTGAGGTGTACATTCATTCTTACTTTATCTTACCTTGTAACATTAATATCAACTACACAATTCTACTTTTTTTAAATATGCATGTCACTTTCCCATGTCCCAAAAATACTGGGACGGAGGGCCGAGGGTATATATGTTATATGATTCTAAAAACAAGATATCTATTATAAACGAGTTAAGGTATGGCACCTAGGTGTCGTTCTGCAACCAAGAGTAACACATTTTCATGTCATCTCAAAGAGTAATCAGTCACACTAACTATCATTACCAAACACTTCAATATATACTAGTGTTTTAAAAAGTATTCCCCCTGTCCCGTAATGTTCTTCATTCTTTCCTATTTAGAATGTCCCAAAATTATATTCTCCTATCCATTTTTAGTAAAAAAACAAATGAAAATGTCCAAAATAGCCTCCACCATCCATCCAAATCCCAAATTTAATAACAATGTTCGGAATACTGCCTCCACCACTGCTTCCCTTGTGTTACCTTCATCCCCAACTCTTGTCTTTTTTCATCTTCTCTCCCACAACATCATGGCACCAACCATAGACTCACCCTTCACCATGCTAAGGTGCACTGCATTTCAACTCGTGCATTCATGCAACACAGTCTTTCAGTTTGGTGGTCCGATTAGAGAAGAAGCCGAAGGTATTTTCATAGCGAAACTCAGAGATGAAATAAGGGCAAATGATGAGTATGAGAGTGATTACTCAGCGGAAGACAACAAGGAAAGAAGCATAGATTCCCTAATTAGGTTTGTTTGGAGCATTTTCAGGAAGGTGTCTTTGTGTGCCAAGAAAGGCCCAAGGATGCATTGAGATATTTAAATCCAGATCTGGATCTAGAAGTTTCCGAGGATCCAAATCAGGATCTAATGGTTAGTAATGATCTAAATCTAGATCTAAAATAAAAAATGAGTAAGGGCTATGCGTTTCTCACTATAAAAGCTCGTCAGCAGGTGGCCATGGAAATCACCACCGGAGTTCAGAAGCAGTTGAGTTCAATACTCCAAAAGTTCCCGACTGACCACGGAGGAGCAAAGATGGATTAAAGAACAATACTTTGTATGTTTTCTCTTTTTGTCAAGGGTAAGATGGTAAAGTATGGTAGTATTTTACCATTCCTCGATAATCATGCCAAGTCAAATGAAAAAGAAAAATACATGGAGGATGGAGTAAGAAGCAATGATACACAGAAAGGCAATTATTGATTAAGAACATGGGTGATTGTAGGAAATTGATTGTTTAGAAAAAAGATTTTGGAATACCAACCTCATCCACAAAAACAACGCTAGGAGCAATTTTACTAGCTAAAGTAAAAACTGCTTTGACGTATTTCTCGCCCTCACCAAACCACTGCAACCAAGGTGGAAAAAAAGGTAATGTTACTTAGATGAAATGGCAATAGATTTTGTATCAAGCAATGAACCCATATTCAAGAGATACCTTTGAGGTAATGCTTGACATTGATATGTTAATAAAGTTTGCACCCGCATCTGTTGCAACAGCTTTCGCTAGCATTGTTTTACCGGTACCTGGGGGGCCAAAAAGTAATATCCCCTTGCAAGGCTGCAAAAGTAAATTATGGAGATGTAAAATTCAAGTTGATGCTCAAGTTAACCCGGGAGAGGAGAACCAAGGACTAAAACAGCTGTCTTTTAAGGTTTTTGCACTACATACTAATGACACAAAAGGCTTTTCTGAAATTCAGACAGAGATACTACGATACTACTAACATACCCTTGATTAATGCATTATATAAACTACTACCATGTACTCCCTCCGTCCACAAATAAACTTTACGTTCACTATTCACAAGGTCAAACTTTATTCACTTTGTTGGCCTATTTTCGTCACCCATTTGATAAAATAATATAGTTATGTCACTTCTAGTTTTGTAGATCTTTTGATATAGTTTTTTAATATGTAATTTTTATTTTTTAATTCTACACCATTTTTCATATAAAATGATTTGAAAATAACTTCAGTCAAACATCGTAACGCGTAATGTAAAGTTTAATTTTGGACGGAGGGAGTAATATTTATACTCCCTAGATATTTAACTGCGACACTTGTGCTCCCTTGCTATTTAACTGTGACATTTCAGATCAATTTGTTCCTATAAGCAACAGTTATCCAAGACCAGAGGTAGTAGACATTACTTTGGTAAGTTGTCCTTTACAAAACAGTTCTGGTCTTTGGAGAGGCAACATCACCAACTCTTTCAGAGTATCCTTCACATTTTCAAGAGCCCCAATGTCATCAAAAGTAACTCCAATATCATTGGATGGAATGACATCTGCAAGTAGGCGTTTCTCAAATTCGTTCTCTGTAACAACATCCTGAAGATTTCACAGTTGTGGTTAGCATAAAAAATTGTACAAGCAACAGGAGACTTTACCAAGAGTTCAATAACACTTGAGAAATTAAGCATAAAAGAACCCATCATCACCTTGAGAGAGTTTCTGGAACTTTTAGAGTCATCTTGAATTCCCTGCAAAATGCCTAGCCCATATCTTAAGCTGAAACAAGCCAAATAGATATCAGTACAATCTTTCCATATGCCATTTCCAATTAAAGCTTAATGACGGTAAAGGACAGGTATTAACCTTTCACTGGAGACCACCAGTTTAGCATTTTTTGCAGAAGATTCAGGAGATTTCAGGTTCATGAAGTGATGGCTCAGCGCCCAGCCAATGATTTTCTCCACCTCTACCACATTTAAAAAGAAATGTGTAAAAATGTATATCATAACAAAGTAATCTAGGACTTCAAAATTGCACTTCAAAGAAAATACTTACCTTCAGTAGTTAGGGCTTGATCTTTAATGTGTAAGGTCTCGAGATCAGAACACTCAAGCCCTATGCGGTTCAGAACCTAAAATTTTAAACAGAGCTATCATGAATATAAGAGTAAGCAAAAACAGACCATTTTCATGCACAAACCTAGGTAGGACCGAGCAAGACGAGTAGGATTGAACAATGGAAATTAGTGGTTTTCCAAAATTACACAACACGGCATGTTGGAAAAGTTGTGATTATAACATTTGGAAACTTATGCTACACAAATTTAAGGGTTTTTCTTCAAATTCAAAATGCGCCACAGTGGAATTTGGGCATAAGTATACACTTACACTGCAAATGTTAGCACGGTTTAGTTGTGATTTCATAGTTTCAATGTCTCGATCCAACTGTTGCTTCCAGTCCAGCAGAAGTTTTTCATCCTTCCAAAGCAATAGATAAATAAATACACATATTCCTAAACAAGTTCAAAGTTGAAGCCATCCAAGGTAAGACAGTAAACAGAGATTTACTTGAGGGATCTGAATTGCCACTTTATTTGGGAATAAACGAGTGAGCTGTTTCATAGTCTTTGACGTCTCTTTGCTTTTTTCATGCAATCTCCCAAAGTCCTATAATACAGAGGATGTTAAAATTCCAGAAACATCAATGATGGTGAACTTGCATCTCTTACAAGATAAAAGAAATAGCAAAATGGTGAGTCATTGTTGTGAAACATTTGAAAATAAATTTGCGCGTAAAAGAAGCAATAGAACAATTATTTTCCAGCCTCCACCACACAAAACAGTGAAAATAGGAGAAGAGAGTGGTCACACCCCAATGAAGCACTGCTCCCCCACCCTTCAAAAGAACCTTACCGGTAAAGCAAGATCAAGTAATGCTGTTTGGTTGCTACCAAGCTTTGTAAAGAGTAGCCCACCTGGATGAGACTGGCAACAATAAAGTCATATTTGTAAGTAAAACCAAATATAAACATGCACTGACACACATGTGACATGGGTGTACATAGAATATTATAGTAACACCTAGCACCTTCTCTTTTTGGTTGTCGGGCTGAGTATGTGATGCTATAACAACAACATTCTCTGGGAAGCTATCAAGTTTGACCTTCAAGGATGTACATGTCTCAGAATTTCCGACCATTGACTTCTCTGTGTCTTTAATAAACACGATCAGTGGACCATTTTTACTTTCATTGGATACAACCTGTAAGTAGCAGGGTATTTTGTCAATGTTCTTTAAAATAACTTTCTCAGTTTCTCTGACGCTTCAAACTTGGTAGAGATTAACTATGCTTAACTGAAGTAGGAAAACTGGAACTTACCTCAAAAAGTTCATTAATGGCAAATTTTTCGATGTCATCTACACCGTAGCTATCAAGGCGAAGCAAATCCGCTACAGAAAACCAGAAAAGTGCAATTAGAATATCATTAACAATGCCAAATTCAAAACAGAGTAGGAAAATACATAAGACTTAAATCATATACATAAATGATAAACCTACCAGCACAAAAGAAGCCATGATCCTCCTCACAAAGACCACCTAGATCGTTGCCATCGGGAATTGATTGATCAAATCTGACCCCTATCTTAGATGAACCGTTCTCCTCAAATGCAAGAACCACTTTGCCTTTGTAACCATACATTGGACCCCTAAATACATAGAGGTAGAAGTTAAGATTTCTACATATTTGTTCACTACACTAAAATGCAAGAGTAAATTCAGCAAGGATGAGAAAATAAAGCAAACACTATTCCACTAGATAAAAGCAGATTGTTTCCTAAATGGGCCACCCACAATAACTGTTTATTAACTAAATAGCATATTAAGCTTATCTTGCTTCTTTCAATGAAATTTTGGGCACTAAATACATCGAGAGTCTAAAAGAAATAGCCTCTTTGTTAAAACAAAGGTGAGGTTGTGTACATCTTGACCCCTAAACTCCAACTGAGTAGGGATTGGGTATTTGGGCTGGTTTGTTGTTCTTGTTCTTGTTGTAGTTATAGATCTCAATCAACAAAAAACAATGGAATGGACATAATAAGCATTCATTGGTTTTATTTATTGCCAAATACTAGATAAACCAATTACATTTGCTAGCAATCCTAACATAAGGGAAGGTAAATGATTTCATCAAAGAGAATCCAGACTACCTAAAAGGAATGGTTATCAATAAATTACATGCTCAGGTAAATTCCAACTTCATCTACAAGCAGTTACCTAATAGGGGATTGCACGGGGCAGAACCCTGTTGGTAAAGTGCCAACATACTTCACTCTATCACCTGCCAAGATATATGTTGGTGAGAATATTAAAACAGGTTTCATCAGGCCAGTGAATCAGACAATGATTTCATATATGGACAGAGGCTTCATAAGAATATTCCATGACAACCACTAAAATTATAGGTACCTTTCTTGAATGTATAGTTCTTTGATGTGGCGGTAGAAGCCTCCTGCTTAGGAGGAGCATAAGAGCTTACTGTCGAACCCCCAGTTATATCAGCCTCAACACTTGAGGTTGGCTTTTTATTTAGGTGAAGTGCAGCTGCCTGTGCAGCCCGTTTAATAACATATCGAGCCCAATCAAGTTTTGTTTTTTCTTTGCTAGCAACAACTTCTTTTGCTACTGGCCCCTGGTATTGTTTATCAAGATGTGAGCTATAAAGTAATTCAATAACATAACGAACACAAAAAATAACATAATGGTATCGAAACAAGACAAAAAGAAGAAATCTTACACCCGGCAATAGAAGAGAATCCATTATTAGGAGCCTTGCACCAAAACTTTTAGCAAGTGCCTTGGTCAATGCTTCTTGATAGATTTCAGAGCCTGAAATTCATTGTAAGAACAAGTTGATGGCTGTAGGTCACACCGAAAAAACAAATGAGGAAAGTAAGGGAACGAATAAGGGGTATGACCAAACTATGACTACTTTAAATCCAATAAACAAAAAAAAACAACAAAAGAAAATGAATACAAAAGTCACTAAATCATTTTGGAAGAATGAAAGTCCAAAACTGTGTAGCTAATTTGTCTCACAAGGCCAATCCAAATTGAAAAAAAAAACAAAAACTTCACACCATAACATTTTAGATGTGGATTCTCAGGGTCCTAGCACGCTTCCTTCTCTTGTTCTACTGTGTATGAGCTGTGAGCAGCCAACTAGGGCTGAGCATATTCCAGCCCAAACTGGAAAACCGGACCGACTATCAGATCATGATTGTGAAACTGGCCACCTGATTGGCTGGAGTTAATCACTGCATGCCCTTGAGGGGCGGAAGTTAAAATTCACATTCAACCTGAAGTCGTGCAGTGTGAGCCAACTGTGATGCTGGTAGTATATAACACCTCTACATCGTCACAATCGTCAGGTTTTTCTACAAGAACACTTTGAGTTTTGGGTAGTGTACACAATGGTCGTTATCACAAAACTTATGGGGTCTAGTTGGACAAGAATATTCCAAAGATAATTGATAGTCGCTAGAGAATGGGATTGATAGGGTCACCGAAACAAAAATGTAATCAAACTAGAGACTAGAGAAAAAAAGCAACTCCGCGACTGGAATTAATTTAGTCACTGCATGTTGATAGCTTTTGTGGGATTCTACTGGGTTGTTGTTTTTGTACTGAGCAAATGAGTTGGGTCAGTACACATAAAGAATAGATCATGGAATGATAACAAGTCAGTTTCATAAAAAAGCAAGAAACTTTAGTAAAAAATAAGGTTGACTTTTTAATCAACTGAGTTAGGGCCAGTCATAATTACTCATATATTCTTTAAAAGAATAATTACCTGCAGGGCCTGATAACAAAATCCTTGGGCATAATGTGGGGAGATCGGATGTGTACTTTGTAAGTTTGTTGCACTTCAAATTTATGTAAGTTGAAGCAATCAAGACACTCTTCGTTGTTTCACTGTTAAAATTTTGAGAGGATTAATAGAATGTAGCACACTAGGAAAATTGGAAACGTGAAATTATGCATGCACATATGTGTGTGAATTACTTAAGGTATCACTATTAATATAAAGTTCATTCAAAGATGACATGCTTTAGAATGAAAATGAGCAGATGAGAATTGAAAGTTGAAACATAATCATAAAACATAATGGATCCTTTGGCACGCAGGTGCCTTATTGCTAAAACTTCCTTGCACCTGTCGGAAATGCATGGTTGGATTTATTTAAACTTCATTGTGATACAAAAAAAACAATACAGCAAAACATATAGGGACCTTGTCATTTAGTTTCATCCGCATTTGTAATTACATATTTTAGGTCCCACTTTAACAGTAGGTTTCCAGAATCCCTATATCCTATTGGTCATATCTAGGTGGCTCACAATCATCTACACTTTATGAATTCAATATCAACCATAGAACTCCATTTCTAATTTTTTTGTCATTTTTCATTGCGGTCTTGTCCCACACTTAGAGTCTAAAACTAGCAGAACTCACTATAGTTACTTCCGTCATATTGCCTGAGGAACAGCAAAATCATAAGAATAGTTATATAAGTAAAATGAAGACTGGAACTGGTATTTTCACCTTAGGTAATATGAGAAATTTTCGAATGAGATATCAATATTCTTAGGATCAATCACTGCTTGCTGAAGCACATGTTTGAATTCTTGGCGCCTAGCTGAGAGCAAAGCAGGAGGATCAAAATCCTTGGCTTCTCTCTTTCCCCTTTGATCAAGAGGAGGACCTTTGGATGAGCTATCTCTTACTGAAAACTCAGGAAATATTCGCAAGAGTGGGCTAAAATCTGCAGTTGCCCCAGGCAACTTCCATTTTTCTGCATCAATGCAATCTAGTGCATCATTCTCGAGATTCAGGTTGTCATTCCCAGAATCAGGAGTCACAGTACCAGTCTTCTCAACAAGGGATACATCATTATTCTCAGAAGCATCCTTCATACCAGCGACGGCATCATCTTTATCAAGCACTACACTAGCAGCTGGTAGTATTGGTATTTCAGCTGCTTTTTTTACATCTATGTTCTTATTGACTGATGGGGGAAGAAGTGATAACTCCTTCTTAAGATTTGCTAACGAAGCTAAGGTAGACGCAACGGCTACAGTTGAATGTTCCCCTGCTCTTTCCTCAAAAGGAACTCCTTTCAATGGCCCGCTATTGGCTTCTAATATGCTCACCGAATGTGGTGTGCTTGCAGCAGACACTTTCTCGTTTTCTAGTTGTTGGAAAATCTAAAAATTATGTTAAGAAAATATGTTCCTTTAACTTCCCAAAAAAAGTGAACTCACATACCAGAGCACATGAACGATCTTTTGTTATGCCAAACAAGTGGTCATTTAAAAATTCAATGATCACCAAGATCTTTAACATTGATATAGTAAAGGATACATAAACATGCTTGCCAGATGAACCAAAAACCACTTCATCGCCTGCATTCAGTGGTATAGTGGTATTCTTTTGGAAGATCTTTCCATTTACTTGCACAGAACCCCTTTTCCCATTTATCTCAAGTAAATTGCCGGAAATACCTCTCTGTGGACAGTGAGCAAAACATATAATGGATAACCACAAACTTGAGACAACAGTTTTCTTTTAATGAGAGTAGATGTTATTAATAAAGACAAAGGTCCAAACAAGCAAAGCAAGACAGCAGTTTGGGAAATCATACAAGACAGTCAAATCATATCGGAAATATTGACAATGACATAAAAATTAGAAAAAGTGTTTGTTTTTATAATTTTATAAAAAAAAGAGTAAAGAAGTTAGTTAAATACCTTTGTCTCGTAGTGTTTCAGGTTACATAAGGACTTACTAACAGATGCATCTTCTAGCCGCAAGTCACACTGGTGGTCTTGGCCAACCGTAAAAGTAGTGTGATGCATGAGAACATGAGAAGTCTGAAAGAAACATCATCAAGATTATGATGATGGAAATAACAATGGGCAAACCAGATTGCCATAAATATTTAATAAGGGAATCAGAACCAAAAAAAGTGACTTTAGGATCTTCTATTGGGACACAACCTCATTGTGATGCGAAGAGCTTCAAACATACAAGAGACCAACTAACAACGCATCCACAAAGCACACAAGCTAACCTAAATGTTAAATAAAGAAACTAATTGAAACTAGTTCCAATCTATTCACCCCACTAGACTCTCACAACACAACTGTATAATGGAAACTAGATGAAGTAATTTTTTCTAAAGGAAATGGAGGAAGTGGCACAAGACTACGTTCCTAAAACCTCAATCCAGACTAACTAATTGGGGTGGGTGGTGTGAAATTAAGAATTGAGATATTCAAGAAAACTTACCTGGGATGACTGTGACAGAAGCTTTCCCCATGGGGCTCCACTACTATATGCCAGCTCCCGCTTCCTTCCCCGATGTAATGTAGGCACAGATGACTTCGCCTTGTCGGCATCACTCGCAGAACTCCCTATAATCCAACCAGCAAATTCAGCAAAAGAGAGTGAATTTTAGAAACAAAGAAAAAACACATCAAATGAAAGGGAAAAAGACATATATCGCCTCATAGAGTCATAATCTATAAACAGAAGGCTGACCTCCACCTGGAAGGACCGGCAACTTCTCCAGCTCGGCTGCATCAGCTGATTTCAAAACATTAGCTTCAGCCGATCTAACCTCCACTCCAGCGGATTCGGGTCCTGATTCATTCGCAACGAGGTGCGATTTATCCCCAGTCGAGTCATTAGTTGAAGACGAAGCCTCTCCCGCCTGCAAATCCGATCAACGGCCCCAAGAAATAATATAAATAAAAATAAAATCGAAACGACCCTCTGTATCCCAAATCTCCATTAACACTGAGACATGCAGATAGGCCCAAACTCGGGAACAAATCTTCAGCTCGATTCAAAATCTGCAAGAATTCAAAGAAAAAATACAAAATCCAACCTTGGGTCGTTTTCCATTTGGCAGAGGTGAGGATCGAGAAGAAGGAGGGCGTTTGGACGAAGATGTGCTTCGTCGTGTCTCGACCATGTTCTTCTTCCTCTTCTTCTGATCTTTAAACTCTTTCTTCTTCGATCCCCTATATCAGCTTGAGACTTCCAAGAAAGAAATAAGGAAAGAAAGCAAATAAAACGTGAAAATGACGGAGTAGTTATCAACCTCCTCCTCCTCGGCCTCTCCTGTTGAGATTTTTTATTTCTTGCAAAAAAATCCCCCTTTTCCTCTTGGTTTTTGGGATTCAACACCTTTCTTTTTTTCTTGACAAAAAGAATTGAAACAATTGGATCTATGGTTTTATAGGTGAAGACTCCCCTAGGAATGATTCAAGTTTTTACTTGTTTCACTCTCACTATCTATTTATAGAAACGGATTGAAACAATTCGAGACTCACGTTGTACTACTTTGATTTATTCGTATTGAAATCGAAACAATAAAAAATATTTTTTTTCAAGTTACAAAAATATTTTATTTTCGAGGGATATTGAAATAGTGGGATTTGTGATTTAAATCATCTTACTTTTAGTGAGTTTTGTTGTTTCATTCTACTTTTTTATTACTATCTCCGTCCCAGAGTATTCGTTCAAAATGATTTTTTCGAATCAAACTGAACGAATTTTGAGTCTTAATTAAGTAAAAACTTTAATGGATATTAGAATAAAAATAATTTTAATATATTAAATTTGTTGAGAACTTTCAAAAATTTATTTTATAATACCAATTAGGAGTAACTCATTATTAAAAATTGTCCAGTTTGACTAGAAAAAATCAAATTGGACGGATACTCTGAAACGGAGGAAGTACTTATTTCAATTCATCCCTAAAAAGGTATTATTTGATTTTTTTACATTTAAAATTAAAACAACTTTAACCTTTACATTTGAAAAGAATATACTTGGGGGTACTACGTATTGAATAAAAATATCAATTTAATATCATTTTGATTTGTCTTGTAACGTAATTTTGTAAAATACATTATATCATGTTTTATAATAAAAATATTTAGATATAAATATTAATAGTTCAAATATTACATTAAGAACCTTAAAGTTCAAATGAAAATCTTCTTTTGTGACAGAGGGAGTACGATATTGTTCATAAGGTACTTATCAAGTTTCCATTGTGGTTACATTTGATTTTGTGTTTGTTTATGTTAGTCGATGTTCTGATAATGTTTTTGGCTCACTCTCTTGCTCATAGTGTTAAGCGCAACCCAATCGATCAAAGCTTTTTCTTTTGCATTTTATCTTTTTCAATGACTTGATAAATTGATTTCTTTTCACTAAAAAAATTGTCTAGATTTTTGGTATTTATCAATCGGCGTACCGGAGTTAATTTTATTCCTTTTTAGTTTTATCGCAAATCGTCAAAATCCTGAACACGTTTTTTATTTATATGGTCTATCATTTATACTTTAGCATCATCATTTATGAAAACACAATTATCTCACTCCTTTTTATTGTTATCTTATTTATTAATTTATTATATTTGTGTTAAGAAATCTTATATCGAGAGAAAATAATATGTATATAAGTTTTTGATTTGAACTAATTGCTTGTTTGAGGAGTTTGAGAGATATGATTCGATATAGATTTTGAAATACGAAAAAATGGAATGGGTTTTTAAATCTGAATTGAAGTGTTTGGAAGATTTAAAACCATGATTTAGCTAGTGGTAGGCGGGGGTAGCCGACAACGAGGGTGGTCATATGTTGAGAGAAATATCAAACTCTTGTATTGGTATCTTTCAAATTTGAGATATCGAATAATCATACAAACACAAAAAAATCGTACTAGAATATTTATTTGTTTAGTGTGATTTTTGAGTCATAATAAATGAATTTTAGTCATCTATTACATAAAAATTACATGACATTATAATTTTTCAAAAGTTTTTATAATAAATCTAATATGTAACATATTTTATATTTACTTGATGACGCAAATTTGTCTTGTTGATTATTCAATTCATTCGTTATATTTGATAAATGGGAATTCAAAAAATATACCAAAATGGAAGGCAAACAAGCCATAAGTTATGCCGATTACCCTTTGTAAATTACAAAATTGAGTCTTTAAAAAACTATATTTATAAATTTAGGAGTCATAACACAATTATGCATGTCGTGTTGAACACAATCAATTATCTTCACGATCTCAGCCATCGTGCTCAAGGAAACCAAAGATGTCAGATACAAATGATATCTACATGTATTGGTTGTCATGGCACGCTTTATCGTGCTTGACCACTTTACATGAGGCCACTTTTAACGGAGTTTAACCGACAAACCCAATGTGAAAACACCAGTTCCAAGGCTCACATGAAGAAAAACTCATGTTAAATCTATACATTAGTGTTTCCCTCTCATATATCAAAGACCAAACAATGTTAGTTAGTATGTGTTAGTCTTCCTTTCAATGGATTGGTCAAGAAATTTACATGTGATTATTTCTTAAAAGAAATCCCAACACCTCAAAAATATGTCAAAGAAAGTGTTTCTGGTCGAACCATATATATCGATACTTAACTTTTTGGTAACTCTAAAAATGTAGTACACGTTCCACAAACTAGTTCAAACACGTCTTGCGACAAACAAGGCATTATTCATAAGAAACTTATCTTGATTTTATTATGATTCTATTCGACTTTGTGATTGTTTATTTTGTTCATCGTTTTGATAATGTTATTGCTCACACTCTTGCTCTTAGTGTTAATCACAACCTAGGTCGTCAAAATCTTTTCTTTTGTATTTTGTCTTTTCCGATGACTTGATGTATTTATTTTTTTTCCCCAGAAGAACTATCTTGATTTTGGTAACTCTAAAATTCTCAATCGGCACACCGAAATTACTTTTATACCTTTTTTAGTTTTATCACAGATCGTCTGAATCCCGGACAAGTTTTTTATTTTAATGGTGTGGTTATCTTGTGTGAGTTACTGTGTATGACTTGTTATTGAAGTTTTTTTTGAAGCCAAGCTAAACACCCATTATATACTCTGCTCAAAACCTTGGGATACATCTTTAAGAACCAAACCTACAAGTCTAAACAGTACAGAGTGTACAAATAATCACACACAAGTCCTGCATATGGAAATGCCAACAAAAATAGAAACCAGACCAAGAATAGCTCCCTGTCTTGTAAGGGCATACTCGGTCCAAGTCAGTGGCTTTGTGATCTGAATCAGTACAGACCCAAACTGCACCTCCAAAGCATCTAGTGTCCCTCTATTGTCAATCACAATGTCTGCCTTCTCCTTCTTCACATCGAGAGACATTTGAGCACTTATCCTGCTTTTGGCGTCTTCCTCTGTTGATCCGTCCCTCTTCATGAGCCGTTGGAGCTGTGTTTCAGGATCAACCCAAACAACTACAACAGGTTTAGTCCATTTGTCGATCTTGGCTTCAAATAAAAGGGGCACATCTAGAACAATTGTCTTGCAACCCTTCAGCCACAACTTCAAGACTTCGGTAAAGATGCCGCGTGAAATGTAAGGCGCTAACAGCCTACAAATGCATCAATGCAAAAATCACATGAAAAGCATGCAGAGTTTACAATACATCGTGACACATATGAGGAGGTCCCCTTAACTAGAGAGTGATGCCCCCTAGAGACTATAACAACAAGTCAACAACAACAACCAAGTATAATCCCAACGTAGGGTCAAAATGTGAGCATTCTTATCCCTGCATAAAGAGATAGTTTGTTTCCGTTAGACACTAAATGCATTCCTGCATTTAGTGCCCAAAACTTCACAGAGAGTAGAGCTTATTGTGTCATTTTGATTTAGTCCATTATGTTTCCGAAACAAAAAACACTGTAGTTCAAGGATGAATGAATCTGCTGATCGATAGCTGTGTTTTTAGCTATGTGGGACTCAAATAGATAATAAAAAATTACTTGATGATTAACCCTGTATTAAATATGTTTTTTATGGATAGTATCAAGATTATCATTAGCATAAATCAGAAATTATGATTTAATATCAAAAGACTCTACAAGTGATTTCTTATATGGCTTAAGACCTTAACTCAATAAGTGCATCGAAATTAAAATCCTGCTATCTCAATGCACTTTCATCTAATCACGAACAGCCACCAAATCAAGTATTCAGCTAAAGGATGACTTAACTGGTAGCTAACTTTTCCAACATAAAGAAATTTGAAGTTCATTATAGCATATAAATGAGAAACCATAAACGTAGTTAAGATCCCATCACAGAGATAATCTCAAATTATGATGAAAAAACGTAGCCAAGTTCAAATAACAAAATTCACACCTATTAAGAAGCTGCCGTTTTGCAGGGTCAGAAAAGACGATTTGACCCAGTTTGGCACGATCCACCTCGCCGTTGGTCTGCAAGATGTCCTCCCGGAATGTAGCCACAACTTTTTTCCATCCACCAGTGCCCTTCTTCAAGACATTCTGCGCATTGCACAATCACAAACAGTAATCATAACATTAATTCATTACTCATCCACAACTGAGATTATGAAGCGCTTAAATGCACCAATAATTTACCAACAATCAGATGCTTTTGAAGCTCGACATGGAATGAGGATAACGCCACACTAAAGGATGGTACTTACACGAGCAACAATGTCGGCATCGACTACGGGAATGCCATGGGACTTGAAAAAATTGGAGACAGTGCTCTTCCCTGAAGCAATTCCTCCAGTTAATCCTACTATCCTCATTTCTAAGTTGGATGAGAATCAGGGCTGGTCCCTTTTTTATGGCTTGTGGCAGAGCAGATCTAATATAACGAATGAAGAGAGGCAAGGAAAAGAGAACCAAGGGGCAACGGCGGATCAGGAATTAGAGAAAAAAAATGATAAATCAAGTGATTTACAGAAGGGTAATCAAACCTCGATTCCGATTGTGGTTGATTGGCAGCTGGACTTTAGGCGCTGACTGCTAAATGGCGAGACGACGAATATGACTTCAGGCGCTGACCATTCCCATTGTTGAGAAGATTGATGTTCACGTGACTGAACGGTCAAGAGATTTGCCTCTGAATAGTTAAGTATTATATAGAGTCTGAATGGTTAATACTACGTACCTCTTATCTGAATTGATCAGACATTTGCCTCTGAATAGTTAAGCAATATACTAGCTCTTAATGGTTCAGACCTCTTACTGGTTCAGTACTTAATGGTTCAAACCTCTTACTGGTTCAGCACTTACCTATTCAGAAGTTGTCAAACAGCCCCTTTGTGTAAAATTACCTGGTGCTAACGCTTAATGCTATTCGTAGATAGTCTTTTCAAAACGCTAACACTAATTTCTAACGATATTCCTAATTAGGCCCTTAGATTAACTTTGAAAATGTTAACGCTAAACGCTGCCCGTAGATAGACTTTTCAAAACACTAATGTCAACCTCTAATGTTATTCCTAAACAACCCATAGTAGAACGGGTTAGTACTAAATTTTCCATACATCCACAGCGAGTGATCATTTACGAGTAACTGAATACTCATTTTTGAACAAGTGAATACTCGTTCTTGAATGAAGTGAATACTCATTTCTCTAAAATTTAGTTAGAATCGAAAATGAGCATCCACTTACTCGAAAATTGATATTTTATTGCTCGAAAATAAATATTCAGTTACTCAATACTGAATATTTATGTAGATGTACGAGAAATATCGTATATTGGGATGTATGGTATAAGTACTCGAATTGACTCGTTGAGAAAAAAATTACTCTCGATCCTTTCATTTTATGGCAAATATGCTTTTGGGATACCTGAGATTCTTAAAATTTATGATATTTTATCCAAGGATACATTTGGTCATTTTATAAGTTAGGATTGAAAGTTATGTTATTTTGACAAATATAATAATTTTATTAAAATTTAATAAAACTATTCCTCACCATTTATGAATATTTACAAATGATTTATCTATCATTTATTTATTTTACTTTGACGAAAGAATATTTGACTTATAAGTAGCTTATAAATTAAATATTGTTTATCAGTAATAAGCCAATAACCGACAACACAGAGAAACACCTCCAAAAAAAATTCATGGGTCCACAACCTTCTCCACAAAATTCACCGATCAAACTTTTGATTTTTTTCTTTATTTATTTTTGTTAATAACTTTTTACTCCGTAAAATAAAATAGTCATGTCATATCTTGTCTATAAAGTATTTAATTTACTCCGGGATAATTGTTTACTCCCTCAGTTCCTCATATGTTTTCTCATTACACGTTATGAGACTTGACCAATTTTATTTTTTATTCATTTTATTTCATTGTAAATGTAAAATTTAAGAATAAAATTTATATAGTTAAAAAACTTGAAAAGCTCCACAAAATAAAAGTGACAATATTATATTTCGTACGGAGTATTATTTTATGAAATAAGTAGTTAAGTTTGTCTTTGTGAATAATGTCTGGTCGGAATGATAGAGATGAAGAGAATAATGTAGTGTTTATCGTGCATAAACTTTATTTTCAAATTTAATTTAAAATATCATTATTTTAATAAATTAAATTGAACCCAAACGGCCATACGGAATTACTGATACGTGAGGGCGAGTATATTGATAGAGCGCTACTAGGGAACCCTTGAGGCCACTCCAGGAATTGCTTCCCAATATTCACCTTGAGGACAAGATAGTATTTGAAGCAGGGGAGAGTGTTACGACTAAGGAGGATGCGCGGGATGACGACAAATGGATAGACACACAATCACAAGAAGACGATCACAGGGAGAATCAACCATGCGCGGGGGGCAACGTAGCTCAAGGGAAAGGAGACCCCGGCATGGCAGAACGATTATGAAGCTTAAGACTTTTATTGTTATTAATCTTATATTATTATTATTATTATTATTATTATTATTTCCATCATCTCCGATGGAGCCAAAATTTTACCATTTTTTGGCTTTGGGGTGTGATGGAATAAATCAAAATGGATCTCTAAACTGTCTGCGCTTCTTTAAATAATGAAGTAGCAGTTAGTCAAGCAATGCAACTTTCGACGTTGAGCCGGGGGTCTCTTTGGAAACAGCCTCTCTACTTTCGAGTAGGGGCAAGGTCTGCGTACACACACCCTCCCCAGACCCTACTCTTGTGGGATTTAACTGGGTTGTTGTTGTTGTTTTATTATTATTATTATTATTATTATTATTATTATTATTATTATTATTATTATTATGTAATTTAGAATACTGTTGTCTTGCCCCATATATATACATAACCTTCCGCCAAGCCAAACTACTCTGAAATTCTCCCCGCCTTCGCGCTGAAGACTTGAAGCAACACTCCGTGTGGATTATTTAGGGTTTGATTCCCGCTTTTTCATCTCCAATCAATTTTACCTGCTTTATTTACATTTTCGTACACATTCTATTTCCCTGCGGAGTTTAAGCATTTAGGGTAGGGCAATTATTTTCTGTTTGAGTTTATTAATTCATGTTCTTGTTTTGATGCAATCATATTGATCAAGTTCTAATTGTTTGTTTTTTGCTATGTGCTGTACTACACGAGAAGATATAAGCGAAGTAATCTGAGTCGAGATATGGCTGAGCAAGTGAAGAAGAAGATCATAGGGTTGGATGAAGGACTGGAAGTTATCGGCGAGGGTATTGCAAAGCTAGAGAGGATCTTGGAAGGGGAACCCGAGTCTTTCACCACCGAAGAGTCTACGTTGCTTTACTCGTATCCTTTTTTTTGTTTTAGATTATTAATTGACATTAAGTAATTAATGATATGTGATATGAACATGGAAACCAAACCAAATATAGTTGTTGTTCCTCCTTAATTATGCATTAGCACTATTTATGATATGAGCACACAGAAACCTCCTCATGATTATTCTCCTCAGCTATATGACAAGTACAATGTAACATATGTTGATTACATCAATTCAATAGTAAGAATTTCTTTCTGCTGGTCTATGAATGAATAACTTCAAGTTAGTTTAATTTTTATTTTTTGTTTTTGCAGCTGATTTTCTCTGTTTTTAATTTGCAGGTTTTGCCCTCTTTGAGAGTGAAACATGATGAATTCATGCTAAAGGAGCTTGTCAAAAGATGGGCAAATCACAACATTATGGTCAGGTGGCTTTCTAGACAGATACTATATTGCACGGCGTGGACTCCCTTCTCTTCGCGATGTTGGGTTTATGTGCTTCCGTGACATGGTTTGTTCCCATATTTTCCGTTTAACTCTGTTGGTTTGAGATGATATTTTTTTCTTAGCATTTATTTGCACCCTCCTTCACAACAGGTTTACCAGGAGTTAAAAATTAAAGCTAGAGATGCTGTTATAGCTCTGGTAAGTCTCAAGTATCATCAAATGTTCTCAAAAAGTTGTACAGATTTTCGCAACACATTTGTAATTGAAAAAAGATTACTTCCGTACCAGATTGATCAAGAACGTGAGGGCGAGTATATTGACAGAGCGTTGCTCAAGAATGTACTAGACTTTTTTGTCGAAATTGGGATGGGACGGATGGAATACTACAGGAATGACTTTGAAGATGCCATGCTCAAGGATACTGCTGCCTTTTATGCTCGGAAGGCGTCAAAGTGGATAGTCGAGGACTCTTGTCCCGATTACATGTTGAAGGTGAATTTGATTCAGCCATCCCTTCTTCCTTTACTAAGTCTTCCATGCATGTCTAACCTTCTTAATTAAGATGCAACTTAACTTCTATTCTCTTTTAACTACAGGCGGAGGAGTGTTTGAAGAAAGAAAAAGAAAGAGTTTCTCATTATCTACATCCCAATAGTGAAGCCAAGCTCCTAGAGGTATATATCTTAACATAGAACATGAACCCAACAAAATTTGAATTATATTGGGTTTAGAGCCGATGCGAGTTGTACAATGTTTTTGAGTTTTAAGTAAATAATGGAATAAATACAAGTGATAGTAAACTTTCCTTGCGTCTTACTTCCTATGAAGCTTTGGGCAGTAGATGCATCAAACATTTTGCTGGGGTTACAATGGGGTTGTCATCATACTTTGTTTGTTTACACTTAAAATACATTGCTTTGTACCCACATGCTCTTTAAATTACTCACAATTTGTAATTCTTTATGCTATAGAAAGTGCAAAATGAGTTGCTCGTAGTATACGCCAATCAACAGCTTGAAAATGAGCATTCTGGTTTACGCGCACTGCTCAGGGATGATGAGGTACACATTTTATTTCATAATTAAGTTCTCCTTTCCATATGTTGCATCTGTAGTTCATATATTTATCCATGTCCCCTTTTTTATATATGCCAGCGGGAAGATTTGTCGAGGATGTATAGGCTTTTCCAAAAGATTCCCAAAGGATTAGATTTGGTAGCCAATATGTTTAAGGAGGTAACATAATTCTTTTTTTTTCAAATCCCTATTATGCTTAGTTAATATATTTCTCCATTGCCCTAATGCGTTATTGCCATTTGTTTATTTTATGTAGCATGTCACCGCTGAAGGCTTGGTGTTGGTACGGCAGGCTAAAGATGCATCTCATAGCAAGGTATGCTCGTTGCAAACTATTTTCAATTCAATTCATTAAGTTGTTGGGGTAAAACTTTAAAATAAAATACAATATCAAAGAATTAATGCCACAATTAACATGCCCTTATGGATGTTGTCTGTTTAAGGTTTTTGTTCAGAAAGTGACCAAGCTTCATGCCAAGTATACGTCACACGTGACGGAATGTTTTTCCAACAATTCTCTCTTTCTCAAGGTAAGCGAAATACGTATTGGTTTTTTTTTTGGTTATTCATTTTTTTTGTATTTGTTTGTTTTTAGTGACAAGTCTTTGGTTACATGTAGGCTTTTGAAGAAGCATTTGTGGATGGCTGCTCCAGTGCTCAACTCTCTTTGGCGAAGCTTTAGTCACTTCTTCTTAGAGTTCTTACCATCCATTCAAAATTCTTTTTGGTCTGCTTTTAGAAAATACAAGAAACGTATGAAATCTTACCCAAACATTCCTTTTTGCATGTAGAAACATATGATGACATTTTAGCAAATGAGTCTAATTTTTAAGGTTTATCCCATCCTTATAAATTGATTACTATATATAAGTGTGCCAAAAATTAACTCGTCCTGTTTTTTATTCGATTTTGATTAAAAATATTGGGTTTTAGATAAAGTTTGTTGATCAAATCCGACGATGACCGAACTTGAAATGACTCGCAAAACATGTGATCAAACTTAAACTTGACCTGACTGATCCAGTGACCTTCTAATGTAAGAGTTTTTCAAAATGGTGTACTATAGTATGAAAAATAATATATTAAAAATAAAGTTATGTTTTAACTTTTTTCCTTACACCTCTTTTTTATTACAGTATATAAACTTATATTTCTAAATTTTTTAAGGACATCATAAAATCATCTTATATTTATCCAAGGGGTACATGTTTAATTTTGTATACTTGTATTATTCATAATATTGTTAAATATTTTTAAAGAGCGATTAAATGATCAAAATAAAATATGCTAAGAGTGTTAATGTATGTATTTCGATATCTCATTTTTTTGGGTACAGAATATAAGTGCTAGTATGAATTTAAATATTCTATCAAACATATTTAAACTCGATGTAATCAAAATTTAAAGTGATCAAACCCGAACTTGATCGATTTACCATGTGTAACTACAATAGCTTGGACTATGAGTCTAAAGAGTGTTTTTTTGGTGATTTTTTTGTAAACAAACATGAGGCTACATGTTACTGGGTCCATCCAACATTCTTTTGGGTCGCCGTGTTAAGACTTAAGAGATCTCAAAATCAAATCATAATTTAAATAAAAATAAAATTTCTTTTATACAAAATTTGTTTAAATCTCAATTACATTGCGGGATGTTTTTTCGATTTATTATATTTATAATAGTTTCATTGTTCTTTGAGTATTTTCTCATTGCATCACTGTCCTCGGATACTAAGGCCTTGTTGTTTTAGATTGTAATTTCAGAATTAGATGTTGGAAAAAATTAAAAAAAAAAAATTAAAAAAAACTGAGCGAATTTGAAAAAATTGGAAGTAGTTAGAAAATATTGAAAAATACAAAGTGTTGAAATTTCATGTTCTTATTCAAAATAGTTTTTGAACATTTTTTTCATTTATTCAAAATAAATAATGAAAGTAATTTACTCCTCGGAGTGAGTTTTATTTATTTCATGTTTTGTCTTTTAATTTTTTGTATGTCAATGCTTTTTTTGTTTTAAAGTATACATATAATAATATTTTTGTGAAGCATGCTCAATATTACTATCCATCACGCTTTCTAAGATCATTATTCTATTTTTTAATTTTATGTTTTTACAGAAATAATTTATCCTCTATATTATTACATTTCGAGTAACTTATACTTATTTCGAGCTCACAATTAATGCCTTGTGACAAATCTTGGTTGTTGGTTAAACTCTAAACCCTTCTAGCTTGATCTATGTGAATCGTAGTTCACATATCTGAAATACAACAAGAATAACAATCCAGTTGGATCCCATGAGAGTAGAGTTCATGGAAGGTGTGCTTGCGTAAATCTTATCTTTACTCGAATGTAGAAAGATTATTTCCAAGAGACTCTCGGTTCAAGCAACACAGATAATATAAGATCACAAATGCACATGAAGGAGAGAGCTAGTAATTTTAAAGAATAAAAGTACTCTAAGATGAGAGTACTATTTTAAATCATTTATTAATTTTAGAAAATATTTATAATTGTTCTGTAAGAAAATAATATAATTATTTAATTATCTTTCTTGTCCTATTATTTCCATAATTGTTCTTAATTGATCTTATTAAATAATGCAGAAGATATGTACTAATACAAAGAATAATGGAACTAAAATATCATTAGGATTCTAATCCTATTATAAACTAGTATAATATTTTAATAAAGAATATTTTTTTTCTAAACTTTTAACTCCTTCCAAAAAAATTCACTCTGCCTATTTTTTTCTAACTCTTCTTCAAGAGTTTTCTTACATCCAAATCTATTTTTCCATCAATTCTTTATTTTGAGAAAGTAAGGGTAGGCCGGTAGGATTTAGAGAAGAATAGAGTATCATAAATACCTTAATAAATACTCGGTATTACTCTAGGTTCAAGGTGAAAAGAACCATTTTCCAATATTAAATTTATTCAAAACCGTTACTTTGGGCCTCTCCCTGGTCCCTCCTCCGGTCGAGAAACAATTCGCCCATTCTTCTTCTTCTTCTTCTTCTTCTTCTTCCCTCCACTCTCAGCTCCTTCATTTTCTACGTTCTTCCACACGCACTCAAACTCTGGTATTGCAATCATCTTCGCTGCTCAAACCTCATCAGTTAGTGTTATTAAACGCAAATCACATCTCGTTTCAATTGTTCAGATTCCGAACACAATCAGTAGTTGTTTTTATATCATTCACGAGTTTTCTGGTGATATTTGTCTCCAATTTTTTTTAATGTTCCATTCGGATTCTACTGTTTTTTCTTCAGATTTTTGTTGCATAGAAATCTGCATTTTAAATTTTATGCAGAAGCGAGTGCACATCTATAGTTCTTATTATATAGGAAGAGCATGAGCTGTTTTAACTTTTCTGTTCCTTAGATAGTTCTAATCTATACTCAGCTAGTTTTGGAAATTGAGAGTATTCTCAGCCTCTTTCATGCTACTTTGTTGGATATTCTATCTGTGTGGACTTTCTAGTTTAAGCATCCAGGCATTTTTGTGTTTAATTCCTGTTATTGTTATGTCATACTAGCATCGTATTGAGTTCTAATGGATTATGATGTGTTGTGCTTCAGAAGATATAAGTGAAGTAAGTCGAGATAACTATGAACCAATTCAAGATAATAGGGTTGGATGAAGGATTGAAATTTATGCAAAAGGGAATTTCAAAGCTAAAGAGGATCTTGGAAGGGGAACCCGAGTCTTTTAACCCCGAAGAGTATATTTTGCTTTACACGTATCCTTTTTTTATTATTACTATTAACACTATTTAACGATGGTATGCACACGGAAGCCTCATAGTGATGGTCCCTTCTCTACTCTTCTGTCACTTATGATTTTATAGTTGTTCCTCCTTAGTTATACATTAGCACTATCTATAACATGTGCACACAGAAACCTCCCAATGATTATTCTGAGCGGCTATATGAGAAGTACAAGGAAGCATTTGATGATTACATCAATTCAGTAGTGAGAATATCTGCCCGTTGAAGCATCTATGTTTTTTTAGTGTTTTTTTGAAGTCACATATACATTTAGACAATAGATGGAATATTTGCAACGTCTATACCATCTTGAATGAAGTTATGTAAGTTAGTTTACATTATTTATTATTGCATCTGATTTTCTATGTTTTTCATTTGTAGGTTTTGCCCTCTTTGAGAGAGAAACATGATGAATTCATGCTAAAGGAGCTTGTTAAAAGATGGGCAAATCACAACATTATGGTCAGGTGGCTTTCTAGATTTTTCTGCTATCTTGACAGATACTATATTGCACGGAGATCACTTCATTCTCTTTGCGATGCTGGGCTTATTTGCTTTCGTAATCAGGTTTGTTCCCATCTTTTATGTTTAGCATTTTTTGTTTGTTTGAGGTGATGGTTTTTGTTCTTACCATTTACACACTCCTTGTCAACAGGTTTACCTGGAGTTAAGAGTTAAAGCTAGAGATGCTGTCATAGCTCAGGTAACTCTTTTGTCTCCACATTTTTTTCACAATTTTTACAGATATTTGCAACACATTGTAATTGAAACTACTTCCATACCAGATTGATCAAGAACGTGAGGGAGAGTATATTGATAGAGCATTACTCAAGAATGTACTAGACATTTTTGTTGAAATGGGGATGGGACAGATGGAATACTACGAGAATGACTTTGAAGATTCCATGCTCAAGGATACTGCTGATTTTTATTCTCGAAAAGCATCAAACTGGATAGTTGAAGACTCTTGTCCCGATTACATGTTAAAGGTAAACTTTATTTACCTTTCTCTTCTTCTTTCAGTTAGTTTTCCATGCATGTGTAACCTTTACAAGATGCTGCTTAACTTCTTCTCTTTAAGTTCAGGCAGAAGAGTGTTTGAAAAAGGAGAAAGAAAGAGTTTCTCATTATCTACATTCAAGTAGTGAAGCCAAGCTCCTGGAGGTATGTATCGTTACATACAACACCTGTCCTAAATATAATTTTAGACAATCCAATAGATAATGATTAGTTCTAATTTATATTTAAGAGTAAATTCCTTAAATGGTCCTTTATAACTGAAGTTTTCATATATCTAAGTTTTCGTGGTCCTCTATATTTGAGAACATTCCAATATTCCATACTCAGTCCTTTGACCCAATTATTGTTTTTCACATATAGTCCACAAAGTACTTATTGTGGAATAGTGCTTAAATATCGAGGACCACGAATTTTATATCTAAGAATTGGGGGTAGATATGAAAAATCCTTGTTATGAAGGACTATTTTTAGAATTTACTCTATATTTTACTAGTATTAGGAAACCATTGTTTATTTCTACCTCAAGAGTCATTTTTCGAATGTTTTAGCACGGAGTAAATAATGGAAAAAAAAACACGATAGTACATTCAACTTCCCTACTTCTCACTTTTTATGAACTTTTTGAGAAGTAAATGCATCAAAGGGTAAGGTTGCGTACAACCTGACCACTCAACCCCAACAAAGTTTGGATTATACTGGGTTTTTTATGCTGCTGCAGGTTGTGAAACTTGTGACAATTTTTAAGTTTTGGGTAAATAATGGACTAAATAAAAATGGCACAGCAAACTTCCATGGCTTCTTACTTTCTATGAAGTTTTAGATTGTAATTGCCTCAAGGGTTTAACAGAAATGACCTCTATTTATATAGGGTAAGGTTGATTACATCTTGACCCATACTCTAAAGGGTTGGGGTTACAATGGGGTTGTCATCATCGTTTGTTTGTTTACGGTTAACATGCATTATATTATGCCCATTTG